TCTCTCCCCAAGAGAAGAGTAGTGTGACCAGTATCAGGACCCTCTTCCTGTGTAATAGTCACTAACACGTATAAACCACATTGAATTTTGTAAGGTGACATTACATTTACTATACCATTTGGGACTTAAAACGGTCTTATGGTTTAGAGTGCTTTAATAAGCCAGATTAAAGCATGTTGATATGCTTTGCTCCTGATCCTTAATTTACTAAAGATGGAACAATCAAACCCAGGTTACTTTTCTCCGTACTTACTTGACACTGTCCTGCACTCCACTCTGCATTTTGTTTTGTCTTATGTTTGGACATACAGATATGTTGGGGTCTCTGCTGGAAGAGACATGTTAGTTCTTTCTGGATATTCTCCTATTCTTCCCTAATCACTGAACTGTATAATGGAAGTTAACAAGGCAGTAGGTTTATATAGTTGATAAACTTATAGGCCAGTCTTCACATACTTCATGCATCTTTAGCAGGTTGCTTCTTGCTTTCCAGCACTGCTTTCCAGTCTTAACTCTGTTTACTTTAAATTGTTGGGCATTGTTTTTCCCCCAGGTATTCTCATCTCTTACTGCACCTGCTAGCACTGCTTTTGAGCATATCTCATGGATATAATTTTATTCTCTAAATATGCAGTATTGTTAAGAACACTTCTACTCTGTATGAACAGGGGATTTGAACACACTTCTACAAATGAAAAATGATAGCTTCCTCAATTTTTATTCCAGACAACTATTACATTCTAATGATACTTTGCTGGCCTCCATTTCTTTCAGAAAATGAAAAATGGCTCAGAAGCTAAGTGAGCTAAGCCATCTCTCTCTCAATTGTTTCAATTTCTCAGGAATTGCTGTACAATGCTGCCAATAACGATCTCCGGGGATCTGACCCCTATTCCACCTCCTACTGCCTCCTAAGCAGCTCCAGATGCCACCAAAAGAAGGAGCTTTGAAGAAAGTGCCTGTACCCTCTTTACCCTGAGGTGGATGAGGCCAGGCAGGGTGGTTCTCAGGATACCCTGATGATCAAAGGTATAGATGAAGCCTCCATGAAGACTTTGAAGATGACCAAAACATTTGGGGAAAGTTACCAAATAGCTTAGAAACTGAAGATGGAGCTCAAGAGCAGACAGCACAAATATCATCTGAAGTGTAGTGTGTGATGATACACACAACTTTAAACAAGCTCCTGTTCTCTGATCTATTTCCTCCCACCTCCACAGTCTGGCCAAACACCAGCCATGAAAATTCCCCTGAAGGATGTTAGTTTATGACTGAGAGAAAACTATTAAAAGTGCTCTTCAGTTCCTTTTTTCCCTGACTCTTAATCTACCTTGTTTCCCATTCATCAGGAATGCTAATAGAGTGCAGTGACATCTCAAGCGTCTTGGCCACTGTTGTCTTCTAACTTGGCTACATGCCTCGCTAGAAAAAATATATCTGTCCTTATATGAACTCTTAGGTACTAATTCTTAGTCTTCACTGATGCCTTGCCTTTTTACTTTTTAGATGTTTTACTTTATCATACTATTAGCTCTGTAGTAGACATTCGGAGCCAGCACCATGGGGATTTACTGTACTGTTTTCAAAAGTCCCTTTTTATATCTCTTTGGAATTCAAAAGTAAACTGTCTTTGTTCTTGAGTAGATCTTACATCTAGGGTGCACTGTCCAGTATCTGACTTCTCAATACTGCCAGTAGCTTACAAAAATAATAATTCCACGGCGGCGGTGGTGGTGGCGCACGCCTTTTATCCCAGCTCTGGAGAGGCAGAGGCAGGCGGATCTCTGTGAGTTCGAGGCCAACCTGGTCTATAGAGTAAATTCCAAGACAGGCTCCAAAGCTACAGAGAAACTCTGTCTTGAAAAAAAAAAAAAAAAAAAGAAGAAAAAAAAAAAATAAAAC